CAGAGCATCACAAGCTAACAGTCAGACAAAAAGCATCACCGCTTACACGTTTTACCCTATGGAAGGCTCAACAATTCCCTATAAATTCACCATCATTGACACTCCAGGCTTTGGCGACACGGAGGGATTGAGGCGAGACAAGGTTATCACCAATCAGATAAAGGAATTCTTTTCCATAGCACCCCCAAATGGGATTGATCACCTCGATGGTGTTGGTTTCGTAACCCAAGCCTCCCTAGCCCGCCTTACTCCGACACAAGAGTACATCTTTGACTCCGTTTTGTCTATATTTGGAAATGATGTTTCCCAAAACATTTTCCTGATGCTCACGTTTGCAGATGGCCAGCACCCACCTGTACTGGATGCCATTAGGAAAGCAAATATTCCATGTGAGAAGTATTTCAAATTCAACAACTCAGCGCTATTTGCGAAAAATGCAGAAACTGACGAGAGTTTCGATGCAATGTTTTGGAAGATGGGCTTTCGTTCTTTCCAAAGCTTTTTTGCTGAGTTTACAAAATCGGAAAGCGTAAGTCTTCGCCTTACTAAAGAGGTTTTAAAAGAAAGAGAGCAGTTGCAAACCCTCCTTGAAGGTCTGAACCCGCAAATAACCGTGGGTCTCAACAAGATTGAAGAGATGCGTCAGGAGGAGCTCATTCTGCAACATCACGAAATGGAGATCGAAACTAACAAGGAGTTCACATATACAGTGGACATTTCCAAACCACGTCAGATTGACCTCAAAGGTACTGGAAGGCACACAACGACTTGTCTTCGCTGCAACTTCACATGTCACAAAGACTGTATGTATGCAAATGACAGCGATAAGCGCTCATGCTGCGCTATGGGGCGAGATGGCAACTGTACAGTCTGCACAATGCATTGCCTCTGGTCAGAGCACAGGAATCTTCCTTATCTGATTGAGTACGAGACTGTGACCGAGACGAGGACGTCAGATGACCTGAAGAAAAAGTATGAAAAAGCTGTCTCAGGCAAATCTAGAGTGGAGGGCATGATTGTTCAACTTGAGGAGTTTCTTCAAAGTGTGCATTCACGCGTTATGAGTATGATTTACCAAGCCCAACAAAGTCTTTTCCGCCTTGATGAGATTGCCCTGAAACCCAACCCACTGACAGAGGTGCAATACCTAGATCTACTTATTGAGTCAGAGAAGAACGAGGCCAAACCTGGTTGGAAGCAGCGGGTAGAATATTACGAAGAGGCCAGACGTCAAGCTGAAATTTTGTCCAAAGTCAAAGATGTCCAGGCAGCTCAAAAGGAGATTAAAGAGAAGGCTCGCAAGGGAGACAGATGGTATCATAGATTCAAGTTCTGGTGACTTCACCGGTATAGTAAAGGGCTTCGCATTTCTAATTAACACTTTCTTTGCACAGCTGCTTGCATGGAAAAACTGAGATTTAGGAATCAAGTTTGCCAAACCGCAATTTTGGAACAGTGTGATTTTCCAGACTATTAATTAACATGATTAAGTTGCACAAACATTTGACTCCACTATTCGTAGTTTACCGTAGCTTGTTTGATTAAGGTGCACATATCTTAGATTGCACGATTTCGAAATGTCATTTATATAAGACTGTATTGTAGAGCGGTCATGCCTTTTAGTTCGCGTAATAGCCCATTGATGGTCGATCTCAGCCTCCGGGTGCTTAATTACCGCTGGTAGAGAATCGCACGGCAAATGGAAAACAAGATTGCTGCCTAAGTACACGTAATTAGGACATTACGTTTTTGACCAAGCATTATATGCACTTGTGTAGGCACGTCTCGAGGCGCGTCTGGCCTCTAGCTTAGGAAAACAGGCGACGCTTTGTTAACACATCTATGATATCGCGGTGTACGTGTTGCCCTGCTGAATAGCTCTTACCTGTATTTTTTCATCAGGTTGCAAAAGTCAAATCTAATGTCTTATTGATCGTGGCTACCGCGTCATTAGTGCTACCTTTTGTATCTTTTCCAAAGGGTTTTGCTGTTTTGGTATGTACTTCGGTACTTTATTTGAATTCTTTGCGGATATTCTAATTTGATTTTAGAAGTCAGAACTGACGGAAGATTACAGTATTTCTAACCTGGTTCATAAATAGCGCACGCATTATAGTACCTATGAATATTTTATGCCTATACTATCAGTTACTTATGATACAATTCTTGTTCTATTACGACTCAGATTTAAAAGTCAGGTTACTCTTCCAGAGTATTCATATATTGTTTGAAATACAATTTTCGCCGAATCGATTCAGATTTCATTTACCTTACTATGTTTTAATCACTGATCACTTTGATCACTGATCTTGCATTATTATTGGTTTTTGTCTATACAAATACATTGTCTTCGTTTGAGATATAACCAGCTTAACAAATGAAGTGAATGTTTGAATGGTGTGTCTATGTAGAAGTCAAGCGGATGGGTCTTGTTTGGGTTTCCTTTTACCTTTGCTTCAAAACAAGCCCTGTTTGAAAACTCTCGACTGCATCACCCCGCATCAAAGTGATTTTCGTTGTCGGGGCGCATTTTATACATTCTCAAAAGCCTTATTCTGTTTGTGGCAGTCAGGCAGAAAAATCGGTTAGTCGCTCATGATCCGCGCTGATATGAAGTCAAGTCCCAAATTGCCACATAATGAGCCAACACCGTTTTCAGAATCTATAAAGGACTACCATGGTCAGGAAATATCGAGCAAGTAAGCATTTCCAGAACAATTTACTAGCTGCTGGCAAATCAATATACCAGTTCTAAAGCTCTTTCCGGAAAATTAATTGAATTAAGCCATCTAATAATCACTGCTGAACACCCGTTTTGAAGGTCAGGGTAAGGTTACATCGGTGGAGCCCCCCGGTTCCCCAGTCAGCAAATCTTCCACTGGAGATCCCATTTTTAAAGGGACAGCTCCGTCACACTCCTGGCCCCGGTAGTTCGAAAGGTAGATGACACTATCCAACGGATAGCGTGGTTTGTTTTATTAAAACTTCATATCCACTGGTTAGCGATTTTTCCGGTGGATAGCCACCCTCCGAGCAGAGCCTCTTTTATCGCTTTTTTGTACCGTAAGAAAAGGTTCTGCTTTCAGGGTGGTGGATAGCGTTATCCACCTTTCGAACAACTGGGGCCTGTCCGTCTAGGACCAACCCCACTGCAGGAACATCACAGGGAATCGAGGTTTCTTCCACATCCTGTGAGTCGCGTGGTACGGTGACCCACAAGTAATACGCCAACTTGTCTCGTGCAACTGCCCATGTTAATGTTGACGTTCTATAACGAGCAAAGTTGTGATTCTTCCGATGATTACGAGTCATTCACGCTTCTAGCTTGTCTTGCAATCCACCAATGGCCTTGAAAAAAGCCTCTCTGATTAACTTTAGTTTTTACCCCCATTTATTTTGTAAGCTTTAGAATAATTTTTTCGGCCACTTAGTCCCTCCAATGCTATATTACCCAGGCAAGAACGTCCTTCGAATACATGTCGTCACTTCCGTTTTGTCTTTCTTTACAGTCTAAGGGACGAGTCATTATCTTTTTGAGGGATTGGGGGTGGGTAATTTTCAAAAATATTTCCTGCACAAAAAAAAAAAAAGGCTGAAAAAAGGTCGTGCAACGGGAGCCGTGGGGGAAAAAATAGGGCAAGTGCTTCCTACCATCCCGGTCTTACAGGTACAGGTCCTGTTTTGATGTTAAAAAAATTCTTGCACCAGCAACTGCCCACCAAAAAAAACCATGCACAACCTTAAGGTGAGAAAAAATTCATAGCCCATAAAATTGTACAATTTCCGTCAACCTCCCTCCAACCTCAAAAAAATAATGGTCCTTTCCTAATTAGCATTTTATTTAGGAGCGCGACAGGGGTTACACGCTCGTCACGAAATCTCCAATAACTCGGATAACCCCTTCTTGCTGTCAAACCTGGAGTGTACTAGCGAGAGGAATGTCCTATAAAGTGCGGATGCCTCATTGAATCAGAAAAGAACGAAGCTAAACTGGGATGGCAAAAGCGCGTCCAATATTACGAGGAAGCCAAGCGCCAAGCTGAAATTTTTTCTAAAGTGAAAGATGTCAAGGCAGCTGAGAAAGAGATTAAAGAGAAAGCTCGCAGTGGAGAAAAGTGGTATTCTCGATTCAAATTCTGGTAGGCCTAACAATAATCATCAAACGAATAGACGAGTGACCCTCAGGCTGTTACCACGAACTTGCAATTGCAATTGCTTTCCTAATTGAACTATTAGCATATTTCTAGACTGTAGTCTTTAAATAGTTAAAAAATGAATTATTTACGAAATTTAGGACAATTTTAAACTGC